TTTGACAACGAAACACTCTAAAGTGGGTATTCACAGTTCCCACTGTCGGGGCTCGGGTTGAATTGAATCGTGCTGACGCTCGTCCCTACAATGTCCGCGGCGCGGTCGATGCAAGCATGGGTAGACAAAGATCTTGGATGGCTGAACTGCGGCATGGCATGCTAGATACAGGCATACTCCGAACCGCCAAGTCCAGTGTTCAGTGTCCAGTGCCCAGGGACACGAGCGCGTCCAGGCATATCAAAAAGAATCACGACATGGCCCTATATTTCACAATACTCCCACACGTCTTTACGATCCGCGATAATTCTGCTCGTGACGACAGAAGCAGCACCCACTCAAACCTCGGCCTCGGATGATGCGGTTTTATTGGGCTGGAGGTGATGGCATGACCCATTTTCAAATCGACCACGGCCTGCCTCACTATTTACTTTAGGCTCATACACTGTTCCACAGTACGCGATGGCAATTTTCGGTCTGTTACCTATACAGATGATCAGTTCGAGACAGTCCTAAAACGAGGACATAGTCACTTATGCATGACCGTTTTCATGCACAGTGGACCCGGAGGCATGGGATTTATCCACTTACCGTTTCTCCTCATGGAGATGAATGTGGTTCGAAAGAATGTAAGAGGTTGCCCTGCTTTCGGCATGTATCAGTTAAGTTATTACAATGCGTACATTTACCTAAAGCCCTCAGATACTCCGTACTGTAGTCTGGCGATGAGCAGCACCCTACTTCGGTATGGCCAAGGTAGATCAGGAAAATCATCACAGTCGGGCAATATTGTGCCAATAATGTCGTAAGCACATCATGGCGAGAAAGTGTAATATGGCTCATCAAACTATATCCCTGATCATTGTAATAAACCAGTGAGCACGCGGTCCTAGCATGCGCATATAATTGGGTTCGATGGTAGATCAAACGTCTGAATATTTAGTATGCATTATGTATTTATCATGTACGTAATGCCCCGGGATACCTGGATGTGTTTTGTGCATTGGTGGGTATGCTGTGTGTCAAATCAGGAACTTGCTCCGTATCCTCGATCGTGTTCGTGTTGTGCCCCATGCAGGGTTCAGTTGCCGGCCAACCCTTCTACTGTACTGTATGGGGGTATTACTGAGAAAATAAATCGAACCAGGCTGCCAGATTATGATACAGAGAGGGAATGAACTAGGAGTATGATGTTCCAAGTAAATTCGTTGGTGGGTCGAAGTCCGTAGATATATATTTACAAGATCTTGAATCAAATGGCCTAGAACACCAACATCTCAATTAAAAGCATGTCTAACAACCAGAAACAGTTTAACTAAGTACCCGGTTGATTACTACCCCCAGTAGCACTGCAATTATTGACAAAGACTGCAGCAAGAGTCAAGCATCGAATATACGTACATGGAAATAACCGCCAGTTAGAAAGCTTCACTACCAGGGGTGTAACTCTACTATAAGGCATAACATTATCCTAGACATAGATATAGAGTTGCTAGCAGAATCTATAAGCTGCTACGTTTTCAACTATCCAATACTTCAATATTCATCACTTGCAACGTATTCCACAAACAAAACAACCAACTACGTCAGAGCTCAAAATCCAACAGCCACTTGAAACCTGGAAGTCCAATTTTCCAGAGCACAGTAAGCTCAAAATAAAAATCGCCACAGACCCCCCTCGTACCTTGTTCCTTGCAGGACCTCGCAGGAACCCAGAAAAGACATCATCAATCACAAAGCACCCAACCGGACGGGTTTCCACCAGCCGAGACCCAACCCTGCCGCTCGGTGCAAGCCTCACCCAATTGAAAACACCCAAGCAGGGCCCCTAGTTTACCCAGTATCTTGGGTCCCGATGATCCTGACCAGCTCTGCCCTTTTTTTCCCACTCCCACTCCCACTTCCATTTTTGCATTTGTTTTGTGGAGGTCATCCTACAAGTTCCTTCTCTTCTCGGCCCACACCTCCTTGCCCTTTCCACCCCCACTTATTTCCAATTCAATCCAATTCTCGCCCAGCTCGATGGAGTAACTCGTCTATAGTCTAACGCACTATGGAAGGCTAGTGGTGTCTTTCCTCAACGACCGTCGTCAGACGTTTAAACTTAGTCAATAAAGCCCTGGGAAATCGAACGTAGAAGGTTCTCCGGGCGTTCTGCGGCCTCCGTTCTCCGTCAGCCGTGTCCGCAATTCCTGTTTCCATTCCTGTCGGAGTAAGCTGAGTTGAGACGCTGAAGCTGGACAATACCGTGTCCGTGTCCACTTTTTTCGAGAAAATTCCACGTTTCCTCCGGGGAATAGCTCTACTCTCCGGACATGTACATTTGTATACTGTAAAGTACAGTAGGAGACCGGTGCCTTTGTTTGATGCCAATGTTGGCATTGGTGTCGGTGTTTGCTTCTTTCTGCATTCGATATTCGATATGCGATATATAAGCAACACAGATCCAAACAAGAAATCCAATAATTGCCAATTGTGATTCATCCGTGTTTGAGGCGCGCGCCGTGCTATGCTGTGCCTGTATGTATCCCCTGCATCGGGCGGACCACCACCAATTAATCCGGGATGCGCACACACCATGCGGTATATGCACGGCACACATCGACACAGCATGCAGCACACCATATAATGTTTGATGGCTGATGGCAAAGTGGCGCGCAGGCTCAAAATTATACATGTAGAGTACTATATAGGATCAGATAGCAAAGGAATTGACAGGTCAAATATCGCAACGTGATCTTGGACGGGAGTGAACCATGGACCGGAACCTCTTCCCCGGACGACTTCCCGATCGCGATAGATCATGTTTCCACGGTTCGAGCCTTGAAAGGGGTGTGCCAGGTGCCAATCCGCGAACAGGGCTGTCAGTTTAGTTGGATATGAAACATAACATACAGTACTGGTCCGCGGGATACAGATATGTTTCATTATCAATTTATGTGTACGTGTATATGCGCACACGCTCCGTTTACATGTACACGAAAAGCTTCGATATACCCGTGTCCGCGTCTCTGGATAACTCTGGATAATACAGATACAGTCCGAGTCCAGACTCGCGCGTTGGGAAACGGCAAAACGTGTCCAGCACGCACAGTTCAGGTTCAATTGATTTCCGAGCTGGACCCGAGCTGGACGTGGACTAAGTAGGCAGGCGGATTTGCGATTGTATTACAGTACTCCGTGTGTATTTCTTGGGAGACCCCACTGACCCGCACTGTACTCCGTGCAAAGGAACTTTACGGAGGACGCGCTGAGAGTGGAGGGTGGAGGGTGTCTTGGATTTTTGTCTTTTTTCACTTTTTATCCAACGGAAGTTGGGGGTCCTTTGAACAGACCCATCGGTTAGCGAAAGTGTATCGAGGATAGCGCGCACAATGGGGTGCGCCCTAGTAGTTCCAGCGGGAATTGGCATTGAAATGGATGGAATTTTGTGGGAAGTGGGAATTTTCGACTATTTAGGCGAGATTCAAGGCTTCACCGTCTCAAGGGTTGGAGTGGATCTTTACCCTACCCTACAGTAGTTGGGCTTCGGTAGATGCTTTCGCAGAAGCGGTGAGGGAGATATTGACACGAAGTCGACTTCACCGACAAGTGAGCTTCATTAAGGTGTTCCGTAGTGTAGCTTAGCTTGGATCGAGAAATTCCAGACCTGGGCCTGGAGTTGTCGGGACGATGGCGGTGTCCACTAGTTCAGGGGCCGGCGCCGGGGAAGAAGTTCCTGAAATTCTTGCCAGGAACAATTAGAGGTCTGATTCGTAACTGGTCCGATTGGATCCTCATATTGCAGATCCATTACACGGGATCTGTGGATTTTTGATTCTTGTGTGATTTTGGAATGAGAGAGGGATCCAAGGGATCGGGAATGGGGTGGATCGGGAGGTAAGGACCTTATGTATGCTACCTAGGCACCGTCCAGCACTCCGTAGGTGCGGTCAAGTCACCGATATTCTTGAACTTCGTCATTTGTGGTCGAGAACGTTGAACGGGGTCGGTCCGCTGCATCGGGAAGTGGATCGTGCTTTTTGTTGTCCAAAGCCACCCGGGCTTCACCGCTGCGTACATGAAGGGCCAGATCGGAGAAGTTTCGATGCTTCGATGATCTGCCGGGAGTCCGGGAGTTTGTTTGGAGGTTCCAGATCAAGGGGGCAGGGCGAGGGGTAATAATTTGATATCTCTCACTATCCAGGTCAATATGTACATGTCCATTGTATTGTTGCAATCTCGACGCGAGCGCGTCTCCTCAGTAACCGCGTCCGGGATCATCGGGTCTGATGTAAGTCGACGCGATGCCCCACCCGGGAACTGGCGATACTCAAATTACAGCTGTCAGCGGTGTACTAGTAGGACTAGTACTGTACGTTGACCTCACCGTCCACTGTGGGCCCATTTAGGGGATCGAGAATCCCCCAAAGCTCCGATTCGCGCAGATCTATGCATTATGGCAAGTGATAAGGGCGGAGGGGTAGAATGTAATGCTGGAGTGGCACAGTGAACAGCCACAAGGCGGGGTGACGAGACGGGATCTGGACCAGTCAGTAAATGAGGCGAACAAAAGTACGGATACCCACGATGATATTCAAGTATACAAGCACCTCAGTATATCCCTGTTCGGAGTTGTGTGTCGCAGATCGGAGGGGTCGAGGGGGGTTGAACCATGGTACCAATCTTAACATCTACTCTGTACGGTAGACACAGTAGACATGCAGATGCCCAGATGTACAGTATAATAATAATAATCCCTGTAGGGGGTAGTCTCACATGCCTAATCTCATATGAGCGAGGGGCATATCCACTATGATCGCCTCTCAGGGGAGCCATGTGGACGAGAATAATTACGTGTCGAATTTGTATGGTAACAAAGAAAGAAGGGGAGTGCGTGGTGATAAGAAGGGGGCTGGTGATGTGAGTAAGCGATGCTTGGGCCCACGACCACTCCCCCTCCCTTCTCTCTTTCCCCCTCGGTTTCCCAAATTCCTTCTTATTCTCCTCATCTTTCCCCCCCTCCCCTCCTCCTCCCCCTCCTATCCCACCTTTCTTTCAGCGTTGATTTTTCTTAATTTTTACATTTTGTGGCTGGACACACTTACTTCGATACCCTTTGTTTTCCCCCCGCTTCATCGCTCCAAGGAATGATCAGACTCCCCAACGAACTCTTGTCGTCGACACGCCTACAAAACCGGTGCGAACTTACCCAGGGGACAATACCACCGTTTACGCTCTAAGTCGATATTCAACATCGATATGGCTCCTTCCGCCCCCGGAGCAGCCAACTCGCCGGCTAAGAAGGCTTCAGCCCCAGAGAAGAAATACAAGTGTCAATTTTGCAATCGCGCATTCAGTAGAAGCGAACATCGCAGTCGTCATGAACGCTCCCGTAAGTAGCAGGTGACTGCTGAATCCCGAGTTACCCCTTTTGACTAACTGGCTAACGCGAAAAATAGACACAAAAGAGAGACCCTTCAAGTGCTTAAAATGCCGCAGCACCTTTGTCCGTCGCGACCTTCTCTTGCGCCATGATCGAACTGTGCACGCCAAGGATGGTGGAATCCCCCTCGTGGCTGAGGGGCGCAGACGTGGTGGAGGGGTTCAGAAAAACTCATCTGCCCCATCGAAACCGTCGGTCACTGTGGACCCGACGACGTTGGAGCAGATTGAGGCCAGCAGCGATGGTATGGTCGACCTTGAAACTGCAGCCATGTTGATGACAGATTTCCAACATAAGGCTGCAGCAGCGGCGACCGGTCAGGTCTCCGAGCGGTCCGAATCGCTTTCGCCTGGACGCGGCTACGAGCCCTACCTGTCAGGCAACGCCACTCTGCCGCAGATGCCCTGGGACACCCTTATCTCCCCCGCGGAAACTAGCTCGATGCCTACCCTCGATCGCCATGGCCCTGTCGGAGACGTTCTCCTGTCCAACTCCCTGCCCATGTCTGGCAACTCTACCCCGAATGCCCTGTCGCCGTACCCCTCCATGACGGGTCCGGTGAGCCCTGTCAACTACCGTCGTTCGCCCGGCCCCAGCCAGGCCCTCACTCTCCCGAAGGCGCCTCAACTCGCTAACGAGATGGAACGCAACTACGTGGTTGACCGGGTACAGAGTGCTGACTCGTTGGGTGCGCTGCCTGACACTTTCCAGCTCCCGCCCACTGTGGCACTGAACCGTTATCTCTCTACTTACTTTAACCTTTACCACCCTCACCTGCCCTTCCTCCACCAGGAATCATTCCAGCCCGCTCACATCTCGGCACCACTGCTCCTTGCGGTTTTGTCGATCGGCGCTCTGTACACATTCGAGCGCGAGCACGCTTTCATGCTCCATGTCGGCTCCAAGGTTTTGGTGAACCAGTTCCTCCAACACAAGGACAACTTCGACTCTCGCAAGTGCCCTCTATGGTTGATGCAGGCTACTCTGTTGAACATGGTCTTTGAGAGCTGGAGTGGTGACCCTAAGGGTCTCGAATGGACGTGCTCCATCAAGAGTCTCCTCGCCAACATGGTCGCCGGCAACCGATACCAGCTGAAGGTACGCACCCAGGCCCGCCAGAATGTGCATCCCTCTCGTGAGGAGTGGATCGAGGATGAGTCTTGCCGTCGCACATACTTCGCCGTGTACATTTTCTTCGGCATGTTGACTCTCACGTTCAACCACACTCCCGCCATGAGCTTCGATGAGTTCGATGACCTGGAGCTTCCCTCTTCCGAGTCCCTGTGGAACCTCGACGCCGCCGACGAGGACACCTGGCGCCGCAGCGTTGCTACCAGTGCCCTCACCGTGCGCGAGGCCCACGACTTCCTCTTCCAGGGCGAGCAGACCCGCTACAGTGCATTCGCCACTCGCGTCCTGATCAATGCTCTGTTCTTGCAGGTCTGGAACCACAAGCGCAGCTTCGAGGCTTTGCAGGATGTGGTTACCGAGTACAAGCTCCGTCTTGCTCTCGAGACTTGGGAGAGCTCCCTGGAGGTGTGCGAGCCCGAGACCATTGTCGTCCCGCTCAGCACCCCCAGAAGGGCCACCCGCTGATATTCAACTCGATGGCAGTCTACCGTAACACTCGCGCCCGCCTGGAAGTTGACCTGAAGTCCATCCAGGAGGCCATGCGGTACCACTCCTCGTACGAAGTCGCGGCCGCTATGACCGTCGCTCGTGAGAAGGTCAAGCGCTCCCAGGAGATGAACAAGGTTGTTCAGCAATGCTTTGAATGCATTGAGATTGCCGCCATTCAAGGCATCAACTGGGTTGCCAAAACCTCCGCCACTAACTGGAGTGTCGAGCATCCCCTCTGCGGCCTGGATCTGATGGTCATCCTGAGCCTCTGGCTCTACCGCCTGGAACATGACGATGAGCCGGCGACTGAGGCCGAAATGGCCATCTACAACAAAGTGCGCAACCTGTTTGACGACGACGCCATCGATGCCTTTGGCAAGCTCAGCTCCACCGTCGCCCGTGTATGGGGTAACATCCTAGACGGCGTGGTTGTCTGGGGGTAAGTCCTACCCGATTCACTTCTGTTGATCTTTACTAACCATCTCTAGTATAACCAAACTCATGGGCGAGTCGTTCAAGCTGCACTCCCAGGCCCTAGTCGGCTACGAGGATTCCCTCCGCGTCGGCAAGGATCAGCCGATCCACGCAGTGCCAACTAAGTCGCTTGCCAGCGTCGGCACTGCTTATTAAATTTCCTTGAGTTATTTCCTTGAGTTATTTCCTTGAGTTCATCTGCTTTTGATTTATTTCGGGTTCTTACTCTCCTTTGTTGGATGCTTTGGGACACTTCGGCAACGGGACTGGACAATACCAGTGGGCAAGGCGGGGTGTTTGGGATTGAATACTTCGCTTGATATCCCTCTTGGTGGTTCCGGGTTCTTTGGATTGATTTCTTTTTTCTTTGCTTTGCTTTTTTTATGCATCTTCCTGCTTTTCTGCACCAGGGAGTCCAGTATGGTGTTTCTGCTTTCCGTCTTCGACACCTGGCTGGTCCTGTGTGTTCTTTCGCACTCCATGGAGTTTTCTTCTTTTATTCGGTTCATCTTAACCCCTAATCGTGCCCCCCAGTCCATCTGCTTTTCGTGCTCTCGATACCTTTTGTTTTTCTTGCGTTCTTGTTTTTCTTTCCTTTGTGTGCATCTGCATCTGCTTTTCTGGCTGGGTTTCCAGTCGCTGTATTTGATGTTAATTGCCATGTCCTTTTCCCCGTCTATCTTGCGCTTTGCTTTCTGCCCAGCATCGTTTTAACTTTTATTTTCCCTTTCGCCTTTTGTTTTCCTTGCACATGCTTTTATGCCGTTTATATGTACTATACGTAATCGATGAATTTATTATTTGCGGGGACACCATGATCACTTGTAATAATGTAACTTGTATGCATAGTAAATAGTATCAACTCTGCTATCTATCCCGAAATGAAGCCGTAAATAAACCACAGACCCACCCATCTCCACCTCCACTAAACATCTATCACAACACTACGCTATCAAGTAAAGAGGTAAACCCTAAGTTACTTCCCAATAGCAACAAACAACCGATCCCCAATATCCCCAAGACCAGGCACAATCATCCCCTTCTCATTAACCCCCGCATCAATAGCTCCAGCCCAAACCTCCACCCCCTCAGCCCAAGTCCCAGCAGCCCGCTTGACACCATCCTCAGAAGCAAGCACACTAAGCATAATAACCTTCTTCACGCCCCAATCTCGCAACAGCTGGATGGCCGCTTCGGCCGTGGCGCCGGTTGCAATGACGGGGTCGAGTAGGACGGCCAGACTTGCTGCTGCGCTGTTCGTTCCTTGGTTTAGGGATGCTGGTGAGGCTGGTGAGAGCTCTGACCGGTGGAACGGGAGGTTGTTGTAGTACTCTACAGGTTGGAGAGTTGCTTTCTCGCGGAATAGGCCTAGGTGGTAGACTGGGACTGGGGTTGGGAGAAGGTCGTTTAGGGCTTTTTTCGTTAGTTTGAGTTTGTTGGAGGGGAGGGAGATTGGGTTGTAATTGCAGTGCAGGTTGTGAGATTTGGTTATGGGGTACAGGTGCAGGAATTTGTAATAGGAAAGGAAAGGAAAGGAAAGGAATGGTACAGGTAGAATGTAGATAGGTAATACTGTAACAGGCGACGGGGAAAGGAGCTTATAGGGTAAAGATCAAGATACTTACCATCAACCATGCCTAGTCCAGACCGCAAGATCGGAACTAGAGCCAGGTCTGCCGGGTCAATGCCCTGGGTTTCGTATTCGACACCGAGAGGGGTGCGGTCCTGCAGGGATGTTAGTGTTCGGGTTCGGGGGGAATTCTCATGGCTTATATGGGTGAAAAGGATTCTCACAGTTCCTGTCTTGGCCAACTTTAGTCCTGCAAAGGCTTCCACGCCCAGAATAGTGGCGATATCATGAACTAGGCCTCTTGTCTCGCGTGGAGTGGTGGACTCGGAGCGGATGAGGGAGAGTTTAGCTTGCAGACAGGGGTGGGAAGAGACGTGGACATTCTGCGGGAGAGACATGATGAGAATGTGAGAAGAGTATAAAGAAGAGAGAAAGAGAGACAGAGAGAGAGGAAGAGAAGAAAAGAAGAGGGGAGTAGCAGTACATGCCTTATCTACTTCCCCTCTATACTAATGTTATCTCCACCTGACCCACATCGGTCTCCGGTTCTTGGCGTTCTCCATCTCTCTCTCTTCCTCTTCCTCTGATAGCTAAGGCAATGGAACAGACTGACCTCCAGGTCAGTCATCCATCAGAAACAACCTCCCACCCCCAACCCCAATCTCCCAACCCAACCGAACAATGGCATCCCCCAGCTGAACACGCGCCGAAGCTCGCATCTGCACCCCTCTCTAAACAGGCAACCCACCTTTACACCGTCTCCTACCTAATCTTCTTCTCATTACTGGGCACACTAGCTCGCCTCGGACTCCAAGCCCTAACATTTTACACGGGCGCGCCCGTCGTCACCGGCGTGCTATGGGCGAACGTGGGCGGCAGTCTGGTAATGGGATTCCTGGCTGAAGACAAGAATTTGTTTTGGGAGGAATGGGGCCAGAAGTCAGTGCATCAAGACAAAGATGCGCTTCCAGACGCAGGAGCTCTTGAAGCCCACGCGAAGAAACACAAGGCTGTGAAGAAGTCTATCCCGCTGTATATAGGTCTGACGACGGGATTTTGTGGGTGCTTCACCTCTTTCTCGTCGTTTCTTCGGGATGTTTTTCTTGCGCTTGCCAACGCCCTCCCTGACCCGTCGCTGCCTGCTGGATCGGCTATCGCGTCGCGAAATGGCGGGTATAGTTTCATGGCGCTCGTTGCAGTTATACTGTTGACAGTATCGCTGAGTTTATCAGCGCTGATCTTCGGCGCGCACGTTGCTCTCGCATTGACGCGCTTTACGCCTACTGTTCCATTCAACCTCACGCGATATGTCCTGGACCGTGTGGTTGTCGTTCTGGCATGGGGCTGCTGGCTCGGCGCAGTGTTTCTAGCGATCTGGCCACCAGACCGACACGATGGCCCGGACGTCTGGCGTGGCCGGGCTGTATTTGCACTCGTCTTTGCGCCAATTGGGTGTCTGTTTCGATTCTATGTCTCGCTGTACCTAAACAGCCGTATTCCTACGTTCCCGCTTGGCACGTTTACTGTTAATATTTTTGGAACTGTCGTTGAGGGCGTTTGTTATGATCTTCAGCATGTCAGTGGTCTTGGGGCTGTGGTTCCTGCTGCTTTGACTGGATGCCAGGTGCTGCAGGGTGTTATGGATGGGTTTTGTGGAAGTGCAACGACTATCAGCACTTGGGTTATTGAGTTGAATGGGTTGTCCCGTCGTCGCCATGCTTATGTTTATGGGATTACTAGTGTGGTTGTTGCTCTTGGGTTCTTGGTCGTTATTATGGGTTCGTTGCTGTGGACGCGTGGGTTCGATGATCCTGTCTGTGGATGATAGATGCCACCTAGCTTGGAGTGTGTATGATATAGTGTAAATAGAGTAATGATATTATAATGTCTACTAGAGGGTTGGGATAAGCATGAAATGCGAGTTATAGAAACATTATAGCTGGCATTTCATCACATTACTGGTGGGATATCAATGTCAATTAGCCCATCATTACCGCCAACTGTCATCAAGGTATGAGAACCCTCATATTCCTTCTCTTTCTCCTTATCCATCTGTTCCTCTTTCTTCTCCACCCCCTTCACCTCTACTTCAATTCCCGGCCCAATCTCAACAGTACTCATCCCCTCCCTAACATCCCTCCAAGACTAATATGCCTCTCACCAACCTCCTCAGCGGAAGTCAAAGCAGTACCAACAGTAGAAACAAACCAAGCACTACCAACATCCCAGTTCGGATGGGACTCACAACCTCCTCCCAGTCCCAGTCCCAGAACCCCAAGCGGAGTCAGAGGACATGTGGTTGCGGAGTATGGTAAGTATTCGAGGAAGGGATGAGAGACACTCCAAATGAGTATGAAGATTCCACCTCAGTGCCAGAATTGCCAGAATCGAAGTGATAAATAAGATTAAAAGAATCTGGTAGGGAATAGAGCAGCTCTTCGAAAATGCCGAGTGCAGTGCGGAGCAATCTGACAGTCTAGTGTCGTTGATCTCGTGTGGATTGTTTGCTCGTCTCCTGCAGGAGTCCGGGGATAGAGGTAAAAATATGATTAGTAGGAAGACAATACAGTATATACAGTACATGTCAGAACCAGAGGAAGCAAAATAAAGATCCGAAGTTGAGGAACACAGTAGGTTGAGGATGCGCAAGGAACAAAGAAATCATACAAGTCCCAAGACCCCAGACCATCCCGCCTGTGCTGTATGAAAGGAGGCGCAGGCCATCGAAGTAGAGCCAAATAGAGCAAAAGCAAAAGTAACAGTTGTATAATCACATCGTATTGGCCATATCTATATACACTGATTAAAGGTTAAGTAAAATCATGTCATGTACACATAGGAACATCTTAACAGAAAAAAAAACAGAAAAAAAATAGGTATCATGTACAACATGTATACAAACTGCAAATCTATACCCCAGGCAGTACGGCTGGTACACAAAGGGTGCACAGTAACAAACATCAAGTTCGCACGTCAGGAATGATGCAAAGAAATGATAGAAGGCAAAAAAGGGCTCAAATGATAACGGCAATGATCCAATCCCACGTCTGAGAAAGGCCATGGATGCAAAAATAGACAATAAAATGGTCAGAAATCCGCTGCAAAGTCTGAACTGGAACTGGAAATGGATATAGGTCCACTTGGTGTGAGCGGATCAAGAGGTGGGCTTGGAGGGTGGGCCCGACGTTTCACATGTCGTGTCGAGAGAGAAGGAAGAAAGAGGTCGTGGAGAATGGCATATAGATCAGAGTCGAAGGCGAAGTTGAAGGTGATGGTGAAGATAAACAAAAGTCAAGCGTTGGCAGCACCATACTGAGCAATCCACTCCATAGAGGATCAGAATCACCCCAACATAACAGCCGCCAAAGCAGTGAAAGTCAAGCCAATAGCCATGCCAATCCACGGCGTCTGACCCAGAGAACCCTCACTGCGCGCCTGAAGCACATGTCTGGCAGCCAACTTTCCCGCCTCATCAACCAACACCGAATCCAGACCGGCAACCGGAACAAAACGATCCCGATCGCGCACACCCATTTCCGCTAATGAGACGGTGGGCGAGTTGTGCGCGAAATCAGAGGAAACGGCGGACGCTGTCGCGGGTTGTTGTTGTGATTCGGCGAGGGCTGCCGCCGGGGCCAACAAGGCCAGAAGCATGGCCGGTTTCATTGTGGCCGAGGAATAGTAGATTTCGAGGGTATAGTAGGTGGATATGTATAAAGATTGACTGGTATGCGCGCGCTTGAATGCTTGGGCTGGTGCCTGCAAGAGACAAGCAACGCCAAGCTGGGTTGGTGCGGGTCGTGGTCGTGGGGTTGTCTTGAGTTGGCGAGGCAACACAACGGTTGGAAGGAGTATCTGGGGTTTGGAGATGTGAGGATACTCGTAGGATATGTCTTGGATCTCAAAATCAGGATTTTGAGGGGGGTTCAGGACATGCCACGCCCGATTAAGTGGATTGTCGGATTGTCGCAGGAGTCAGGCAACGGGGAATAGGGGGCCAAATCGATAGTCCGTACAGAGCCTCCTCACTTGAATCACTGGTCTCGCCCTTGCTCTCTTTCCCCTGAATCCTGATCCTCTTAAATCCTCTCAAATAGTAGGAAAAAGAAAGGAGAAAGGGGGAAAATCAAGATGAGGCAAGTTACTGCGGTGATTGGTCCGTTGGAGTCTCAGGGACGCCCGTGGGGGTTGCCCCTAAAGGCGCGATGTGATTGGTTGAGAGCTCCCGTGTCTATATGTTATACTTAGGGCTTCATATGAGCTATTTCCGGCTTATATGAGCTATTTGTTGTGTGCTGGAGCTATTTACAGCTTATGGGGCCGGCGCCTTCTCTTGGATAATATCACACTTCCACCCCCCAGTCTTCCAAAGACGGGATTCTAAAGTTCGTAGCGCTTATGTGAACAAGCCACTGACCCGCCTCAATATCAGCCTTGATCCTTCTCTTCAGGCGTCTCCGTTGACTTGGCCTGCTTTGCCTGCGCCGTCTCCGACTCTAGTTTCTGCTGATATTCCAACAAACCCAGACGTTTTAATTTGAGATGTTTGCGCAGCCTACGTTCTCTAATCGCCATCTCACTAGGCAATTCATCCCTCATCCGCTGATGCTGAGCACAAGGCCGACAGTAATACCCAGAAGAAAAGTCCCCAGACTTGACAAGCGTGCGCCTGCTCCCGGGCAGAGTTATATCACCACAGTGCTGACAAGGGTTTTTCTGTTTCCGTGCAGTCACAAACTTAGCCAGTTTCCCACGTAGCACCTTGATAGCCTTTAATTGTGCCTCGGTTGGCAACTTATCTTCAAGACACAAGCGCCTCGCACAAGACCGACAGTAATACCCAGCCGATGAATTCCCGGAATCAACATAACGCCGCTTCTTTTCCGGTGTAACAGGTTCACCACAGTGATCACAAGGGTATTCGCGTTTGTGCGCAATCGGGATCCCAGACCCCGGCCCAAGACCACTATGCCAAATCCCATATTGGGCATTTTGTATTTGTAGCTCGGCCTGGCGTATTGCACGCTGGACACATGCTCGGCAGTGGAAGCCTGCATAGGGATTGTCCGGGTCGACGAATTGACGCCTTGATGTCGGGGCAGTCTCAACTCCGCATTTACGGCATGGGCTCGATTTATGCAACTCGCCGCTTTCCTTCCACAGTCTTCGTCGGCGCATGGATGCAAGTTGTTGCTCGTTTGGAAGGGCGCCTTGAGCTTTAACCGTGCGGATGCATGCTCTGCAGTGCCAGCCTTTCGTTCGGTCGTTGGAATCAACTAGCCTTCGGTGCTTTGGGTTTATTTTGCCTCGGCAGTGGGCGCAGAGCTCTGGATCGCTGCTTGAGGATTCATGGCGGCACTGACTGATTGATGAGATCTTGCCATGGTTTTGGACTGTATGTGCAGGTCTCGAAAGATCGCTAAGTAAACTCGGTGTGAATGGAGCTCTGCTGGCATGGTTCCTTGCAGGGTGGTATGCGCGAATGCTATAAGATCGAGTAAAGGGCCCCAGGTGTTGGATTACGGGTCCAATGTTCTGGCCATGGCGAAAGACATGCGCGAATTGTACGAAAGGGCGCAGCGACATCGCAGAGGTTCGCGCTGAAGGCACTCGATTGGCTCATAAAGACATTGTAGAGGTAGGAGTGGTGGGTATTTAGGTTGAGGCCACCGTTAGAATGACTGTTGGAATGGGTATATGCGATACTTAAACATGGGCTTGAAACCCCCAACGCGATGGATGCGCGAGCCAGGGTCTTGGCACTTTTGCCTCAGGCTGAATAACAAGGCTATTACTAAGCAACTTAAAGTTGAGCAAGTTTGCATTGTTTGATGCTCTTTAGGGCTTCTATTCTATCCAGTAGATGTAACTACCTATGCATAATGAACAGAATATATATCGCTATGGCCTTTCGAAATTTCCTTCAATCGTAATGGCTTAGGAATGCATTGGGCGTTCAAAGAATCTCATCCCAGTTAGGCGTGACGGTAAACTTGCCAGACAACTGACCCATCGACCAAACCCGATTCTCGGACTGATCAGCCTCGGGATCGTCCTCTTCAGCATCCGCGCCGGTATTGACGGGAGGCGAGACGATAACCGCTTCCTGCGCAAAGCCAACGGGTGCACCACGGTTCAGTTCCATGCTGATGCCACCCCAATCGAGGGTCACACGTCCGGATTTGTGTACGTTCAGTTTACCCACACGGCCGGCTGGCAGGGACCAGGGTTTGTTGGCGGTGATGATGTCTTTTTCTTGGGATGTGGTTGTGGGTTGGGTAGTTTCCACGATTTCCACTTCGGCGCCTCCTTCACGTTTGATCGGGTTCTGGTTCTGGTTTTCGGGGGCGGCTGCGGGTTGGTATCGGTTGGTGTCTGAGCCGACGATGTGGAGGTTTGGTGTCATGGGCGGGAATTGCATGAGGAATAGGTGGCCCAATAGAGGGCTCTCTTCTTCTTCCTCTTCGGTTTCTTTTTCGGCATCCTGTCCCTCCGCTGTGGTGCTGGCATCTGCTGCGGTAGCTTCTGTGGCGCCCTCTGTCTGTGCTTCCGGTGTGGCCTTCTTCTTCGACGGAGGTGGGACGAGGAGCTCCTTGATGAAAGATAGATCTTCCATGTGACGGTCATATTCTTCGATTTCCTCCTTGGTGTGAAGGAGGCTGCGTGGGTCTGGAATCTCGGGCTCGGGGGAGGGTGCGGGTTGCGAAGATCGTAAGTCTACTGTGCGTCTCTTGGTAGGGCTCTGGCTCAATGCTGAGCGGACACGAACGCTCTGCGCTGGAAGGAACCCATCGTCGTCGGCGTGTGGAATATCCCCCGCCATTACAGAATCCTCGTCCTCGGGGTCAGGCTTGATACGAGGTTCATCTGTGCGTCTCTTCTCCGAATCCTTAGCGACCTTCTCCTTCTCTGCTTTATCACGAAGCTCAGCAGCCCTGCTAGAGCTAGACTCCATGTTGACACTGATAACCCGCTCCTCGTGCTCATGGCGCGCAATACGAACAGGACGAAGAGCACGTTCGGTGCGAGACCTACTAGGCATCTTCCCCTTCCCGTTCTTGCTTGTGTCGTATTCATCATCATCGCTGTCGAGGTTGATATGATCAATACTCATGCGAAGTCCGCTCTCATCGTCCGAAGAGTCAGTTCCACGCGAACGGTCACCACCAGTGAATCCAGAACGATTTCGCCCTGAACCAACACCACCAACACCACCACCGCCGCCACTACCACCTCCACCACCAAACCCACCACCACCGCGACCACGCTTGCCGCCTCGACCAAATCCACCTCCCATACTCATAGCCATACCACCGCGACCACGGAAACCAGCGCGACGAGCAGTGCCCCCACGCCCACGCTGAATAGCAGCAGCCTCCTTAAGTCGTTCATTGTATCGTTCCTGCTCAAGTCTCTCAATCTCCTCGCGTTCCTGCTTGCTGCGGCGGCCAACAGCCTTGGGCTTGTATTTCAGAACAGGTTTGGCGGGCTCACCACCTAGAGCGGAAGGGGGTCTACTGCTCGGCGCAATGCTGCCGGAGGGTGTGCGCTTATTCAGAGATTGCAGTCGTTGCACTGAGGATCGATTGGCGGCGCCGGCGCCGGCTGGCGCGGGTGTATCTTGGGTTTGGTCCCCGCCTGCGGGAGTCGTGGAGGTTGAAGTTGTGCGTGCGCCGCGTGCGGCTGTGCCTCCACGGGCGCTGCCGCGGGTAGCTCCTTTGGGAGGCATTGTCGCTCAGACAAGGCGCTTGTAGCGGCTTGCTGGAGGGTTGGAAAAAGTCCGTAGGGAAGGGCTAGACTGCAGCGCGTTCGGGTTGGAGGGTGCGCTGGGATACTTGAGTGTGGGCTTTTTGGGCCTCGGGAGAACAAGACGGGAAATATGTGAGGATCAGTTCGCCGGCGATCAATGCGGGCGTCTGAAGTCGTGAAGGTTGAGCTCCTTCAAAAAAATTGCGGGGCCATTCACACCGCCTTCTCACGTGATCCGCCCACCCCTCTGCGACTCGTTGGCGATGAAGCACAATTGTATTGAATTGTGGACAAAATTGCTATTTTAATATATATAAACTCCATGGACTTCCAGATGCACTTGGGGGAAAAAAACAAAAGCAAGATTGGCACACCTCGTACGTCTTACTGCACTTTTACGTATGGCCCGACGTGAAAGTATATATTTCCATTACTGGTCCATCCGAATACCACATCAAACCGACATAAGCAGAGTAAACACCCAGTAGCATTGATTCCGAAGGAGCGAATGGAAGTGACAAGAAGCATATAGCCTGCAGAAACACTAAGACGCCGAAGGGACACAACAACAATTCAACCGCTTGGCAGTGGATATTGAGGTCAAAAGCATGGTTTGTAACCAATGAAGGGAGTGTAGAGGAGGAAGAACAGATGATGACAATATAAGGAGTGTATAGTCCTCTGGAGATGGCTAGAAAAGAGGGGATAGGAGGGGGTGAGGATGGCAAGATAAATGAGAGATCCCATAGTCACGGAGGAGGGTAGAGATGCGATGCATTGCGCCCAAACATGGCGCCGGCAACCGCTGCCAGAAGCTCGACTAGCGCTTCCGCTTCTTATTCTTGTCTGCTATAGACGCGGAAACGGGAGGGGTCGCTGGCATTGCTGGGAACTCATCTTCGTCTTCCAGCATTTCTTCTCCGTTCTTCTTCACGGGAACACCCATGTGACGGCCGTAGCGGCCTTTGCGGCCATTTCCTTCGTCTTCGCTGACGCAGCCTTCAATGCCAATGCCGGCATCCTTGCAGCGTCCGCAGGGACGTTGGCGGTCACATCCCTTCTTGCTCTTGCGGCACCGTTGGCAGCGAGGCTTGGTCGACAGGTCTTCCTCATCCGCACCGAGCTGATGCTGGAAGTTGACCGAGCCTCCGGAGACCTTACGGGAAGAAGCTGGGCTGAGAGGTGGAACAGGAGGGACCGACTTGTCCGACGGCTTGCGGGGAGCCGGCGCAGCGACCTTGCTCTTAACCTGCTTTGCAGAAGGCTGCTTCTGGCTGCGAACCTTGAAGGACATGGGACGGCTCTTGGGCTTCTTTGACTTAGGAGCGGACTCCTTGTACAGGATGTCCTCTTCACCTTCACTCTTGATGCCATCGTCGGCACCATCTGAGCTGTGGTCACTGCTGTCAGCGCTGGGGAGGATGTCATCCAAGCCCTTGTGGTGACGCTTGATGGTGCCCGGTGGAAGCATCGGGCTTGAGTCTAGTCTCTGGCGACGAGCTGGCAAGTCATCCTCATCTTCACTGAAGTCTTCTCCATCACTGGTAGCGCCAGTGGATGAGGCGGCATCAGCAGCGCCGCTGAAGGCGTCGTCCAATGTTGAAGCCGACGTGCGACCGTGGGAGAAATTGGACGCATCGCCCAGACGTATCAATTGCATTGCCACATCTTCATCAGAGATGCAGCTTGCAATAGTGGGGTCAGGCGTGGGCAATACACCCGGGCCACTCACTCGGCTAGCCGAGTAGCCTCCCGAGGCGTCGCGCATGCGATTATTGTCGGGGACAACGGGTGTCGCATACATCGTATTGCGCCCCGATTGAATACCATATTCACTATGACCATAGCTTTGCGGCGATGGAAGCGCTTGTTGGTAACTATATGGGCGTTGGGGAGGGCGGGCGAAAGGCGACCCAGCGCCTTCCTGACCAACCGATCGACGTTGAGGTGAGATGGAGGAGGTAGAGGTAGTGAGGGGCACTTGGGGAGGAACAAATAAGGGAAGTTCCTAAGGGGAAAAGGATATTAGCGATGGATCGAAAAGACGAAGAACTTGAGTCACTTACAGAGCTGTCAAACTTGGGTCGTTTCCGACGACCATCTTGCAGTATGTTTTCCATGCTGATATCGGAGCTAGCGAAGAGCTCATTGCGAGCCCTACGAGCATAAGCGCTCTCAGTATCGCTGTAGTCATCATCATTGAATCCTCCATGGATACTCGAGCCACGGCTTTTGTTACCCGCACGAGAGCCTGGCTTGTGCTGAGAAGCACTGCGCATACTCCGGTTTGACGGAGAGGTGCTGCGCTTCCTAGCCATGCGCGAGGCAGGGCGCGATGGCTGGTCCAACACTGGCGTCATGCCATCGGTCATCTGGAAAGGTTCCGCCAGACTGGGCCGCTTGCGAGGCTCGACAGGGAAGCCATTGTAGAAGTGATCCCCAAATGGTTGAATAGGAATGACTCGCACATATACAGTCCTGTTATTTTTGAGGTTCTCGTACCTAGCGATGAGGGTAATCCCATTTTCATCCTCGAAGCTGACCCCACTGGCAGTACCATCGTAAATGCCATAGAAATTTTTGACCGTCGTCACAATCGAGTCCGTCGTATCATGAGGATAGATTTGAACGCGCATGGGTATACGAGCTCGAACCTTGGAGTTTTCATCCAAAAGCAACTCGAAGGCGATGTTCTTGGGTGCTGGGCCCTTCTGCGACGGGTCTCTTACGGCAGTCTCTGCCAGACCCGGCTGCTCGAGCAGGCCAGAGTGCCCTTCACGGACCGCTTGCATGGCGAATCCAAAATACGAGGAAATCCTCCACTGCTATACCAAAGACTGCATCAACCCACTGCTTGTGTGCGATAGAGGGCGGGAATGGGGTCCATAGCGAGAGAGGAAGGGTAAGTGTAGAGGGAAGAATCCATCGAACCTACCAAATAATAGAATTCGAAAGATCAGGCTGGTGGATGGACCACCCCGGGGTCTTGATGTATAGAAATGTATAGAAACCTTCGAAGCAGAGCCTTCGATGGTGAGGGGAATGTGCAGTCGCAAGAGCCGGGAGCGACTCAGAAGGGCAAGCGTTGGCAACCTGACCAAGGACGAACCGCAAGGATTAGCACAATGGAGTTTCAAGCGCTCAAATATGTAACAAGGATGGGTTTTGTCAAAGGGGATGACGGATGTGTCGCTAACCGAGTCCGGCCGACCTTGGGAGCGGGCTTGGGGAGAAAGCAAGCGAGAGGACCCGGAAGAGGATGGAGAGGAACACAAACACACCTAATTCGATTCAAATCGAGTCCTCCAGTGTCGCAATGTATCCGGATGGTCCAAAAAAGGATCGAAGCGTCGAACGATGGGGGGATTCGAGGTGGACGAGGGGATTGGTGATTCTACGAAGCGCTAAGGCTGTGTCAGCGGTGGGATCTCCAAACAGGAAAAGAGGTCGTAGATGTGAATAGGAGAGGACAAAAGGAGAGAAACATACTCAACAATGTTGGCAATGTTAACTTGAGTGAGATGGAAGAAGGTTGAGGTGGGTGCGTACGATGGTTTCACCTAAAGCGAGAAAACGGCCTGGGTCGGTGACATGGCGATTTGCGCTTCCGGCATCAAAATCGCCATCACATTCCATAGACCTTGAAACTGGCTCTTTTACGTATGTTTGAACTTGCTACAATATTTTAAACATGCAAAATGGTCCTATTAGTCTGTCTATTGGCAATGCGCAAAAAGCTGTCGCAAGCCGGATGCCATTGCGCCGAGTGACGGAGCACTTTGTCTAACCACCCCCCTTGTGTTCGAAATGCAGAGTGTAATCCGTAGAATGTGATGTAAAGTCTCTTAAGATACTGGACTTTCAAATGCGCCAGCACAAAGCCGAGAAGAAGACTCCCCTCGAGGCGCAACTTAAGATAAAGAAATAGCGCCCAATGGATTCTCTGGCTTGCAGCTAGTTTCTAGCTCGACCACGTAGCGATGCCCTTTTTGTGGTCCACCCAGACATCGAATTGAACATCGCCCAGCCCAATCCTTGCCACTAACCTTGTCGCATGGTACATTGGCTATGCGGGAATGATAATACTAGTTGCCGCGACACTTCTGATGTCTTTCAATGAGAAATTAATGGGGTAGGGTTGCAGCTAGAGAGGTCCTCTGATCGACCGGTCTGGGGACTTAATTCCCGCGCAAAGAATATCGCCCCGGAGAGCCATAAGCTCTTACTTGCCCACACTCTCTCTCCCAAAATACGGTCCATTAATCGCATGACTACTCCGAACGGAGTGTCTCGCATGATCTGCAGTGAATTTACCCCTCCTCGGGACCTACACTTTGATGTTGAATACCGCATCGGAATTACTGAGCATTCCTGGATTCGCACTGAAACTTAGGGTCTCCGCAAGGCAGCGATTCCACCCTTTTATTGATTTTCTCAGTAAATAGGGGGAATGTTCTAGGTGGAGATGTTGAGCGAAGATCTACGAATTGAGCTAGAATTTTCAGAACGTGCAAGTCTCTCAAGTATCTCAGGCCGAAAGCATGGGTTGCGCGACCCCGCAGAAGAAGAGAGACTCGCAATGATTGAGGCAGGTGGGTTTCGGCTGATCGCAAAGCTGCCAAACAGGAACCGCTTGATTCCGGCGACGGCGGTGTGGCTCTCACGTGGTTTCGTGTGGATAGCGCGTTGGATCTAGATATTCTCCGGAAAGGGCGATTACAGCCCCAAAATTGGGCACTTTGTAGATTTTATGTACGGAACTCATAGCTTACAGTAGTAAACATCTTGAGTGAATTTTATACTATCTCCAGGGCTCTGTGTTGCGCAGATTTAACCAAAAAGATATCTGATGGACATCGGAGGAGACGCGCCGATAAGGTTATGACGTCAAACAATCAACAAACGATGCAAACACTACCAAACAGAGCAAACATCCAAGCCCTTCTTTCAACGTCCAAACCAGATCGAAGTATTATAAATGGGGCATGTCAATCATGGGATCTCTGGTGTAAATCTAGAAATTGAATCGTATAGATGATCCCCCTTCCATCAAGCATGGCAGATGCCTTCTGAAGTCCTCGACTTCGATCTGGGCCTGGGCGTACCTGACATTCCCAGGCAGTAGTCAGCTTCTGCGCAACGGGTAGGTGCAGACCGCCGTAGCGCATTCCGAAAGAGGATTAGCGGCATATTTGTGAACTAGTACATTTCTTAGACAGGCACGCCCTTTCTTGCGCAATCCTCCCTTCTTCGTTCTGTCACGTCCTCGGTGCTCTGTTGTGCTTTTCGTCCCTTTCACTGTCAATAGTCTTCAAAGGAACGTGGAAGAACGGAAAAGTAACGAGTTGTTCTTTGAGCGGGTCCGAGGACTGTTTATTTTGCCCGGGTCAACCAATCAGCCGCCCCCGACTACCCGTCACTCAGTTGAGCAAAAAGTAAACAACGTCCTCCACTCACTGCATACTCGACAACAACACATCTTGCAACCCGCCAGCAAGATCACTCATCATGGATGCGAAGGTAAGACCTTTCTGTCATTTTGCAATGCTCTTACCCTCTTCGAAATTTCTACGCGTCAATTGCGTGGGGTTAAGCTATGCCGCGTTGTTGTTGCCTTGCACCTTGTTCAACACCTCTTCTATTACGACCTGCTCCCCTGATGACTCACAGTCGATTTGTTCATGGCATGAAGAGCGATACCGTGTGCTAATCGAACCTCAAGCCACAGAGATTCCGCGTCTGTGGGGACGAGAACGTGCCCCCGTCGTCCTTGCAAAACCATAAGACAATTCACCAGCGCAACAAGTCCAGCCCGGCTCTGAACATGATGGCTCAGAACGGCACGAAGAACGGAGTGCGTCGTGCCTTTGGCGATGTTAGCAACACCAAGCGTACCAGCCGCGACGATTCTGTCCTGGTTGGAAAGCCAACTACTCTGCCTGAGAAGGGTGGAATGTCTCAACCGGCCCAGCGACAGATCCCTCTTGCTGTAACCAAGGGACTCGTTGACAAGGTCACCGGGGCCAAGCCAATGAACCCTGCCGGGAAAGCCCAGCCGGCATACAAGACCACGAAGCGCAACAACACTATCTTCAAAGATCAACTGCAACCCGTCCCCGAGAAGGACACATCCAAGGAAAACAACCGGACCATTGAAACTGTCCAAGCCCCGGCGAAGCTCGTCGAAGCCAATGTCAATGCCATCAAGGAAGCTGAGAAGGCTAACGTTGCCCCGGAACCATACAAGGCGCTTCACGAGGAACTGCCAAGCCACATCGAATCCGACGCGACCATTTCCGAGCCCGAAGACATCAAGGAGGTACAAGCTAAGGAGATAGTGTTGGCCGTGTCGGAACCAGAAGAATACTGGGACGAAGATGAGACCGAGTACTACGCCGCTCCGACCTATCCCTCGCGTGGAGACAATACCACCGGCGGAACTGCTGTTATTTACCCGAAGATGAATGCCATGACCAGGCGTCAGATGTTCCTGGCCAAGGATATTGTTGAGAGCCAACTGACCGAGGAGGATATCATCGAAGATAGATATGACACCACCATGGTTGCAGAATACAACGACGAGATTTTCTTGCACCTGCGACAGAAGGAGGTATGTTCATACTCCAAACGCAAGAGATAATGGATTTGACTAACCACTGACTTAGATTGACATGCTTCCTGTCCCTGACTACATGGCGAACCAATCCGAGATCCAGTGGTCCATGCGTTCAGTTCTCATGGACTGGCTCGTCCAGGTACACCAACGCTTCAATCTGCTTCCTGAGACTCTATACCTCACTGTCAACTACATCGACCGCTTCCTATCCCACAAGATTGTTTCACTGGGCAAGTTGCAGCTTGTGGGTGCAACTGCCATCTTCATTGCGGCCAAGTTTGAAGAGATCACCGCTCCTTCGGTCCAGGAGATTGTTTACATGGTTGACGGCGGCTATTCTGTGGATGAAATCCTGAAGGCTGAGCGTTTCATGCTTACTATCCTCGACTTTGACCTGGGATGGCCCGGCCCAATGAGTTTCCTCCGACGCATCAGTAAAGCTGATGAGTATGATCTCGAAACTCGTACTGTGGCCAAGTACTTCCTTGAGCTCACCATTATGGATGAGCGCTTTGTCTGCACTCCCCCAGCTTTGTTGCTGCCGGTGCTCATTGCCTCGCTCGCATGTTGTTGAACAAGGGCCAATGGGTATGTTTTCCTCTTGACTTTTTAGTAACATTGCTAACATTGACAACAGACCCCTGCCCATGCTTTCTACAGCGGCTACCTTTATGCCCAGCTAATTCCTGTGCTCCTTACTATGCTCGACTGCTGTGAGAACCCTCGCCGTCACCACGCGGCCATCTTCGAGAAATATTCCGACCGTCGCTTTAAGCGCGCTTCAGTATTTGTTGAAGCCGAGCTCGCACATGACTTCGCCCTCCCAGAAGTCTCCCATCTGAGTGACCCTGATCGCCTGGACGGTACGGCCAATTTCTAGGCCATCTTCTCAATGTCTACCACGTGGTCTGCATATACCATGCAAGCTGTATTCCAGGTTCATCGGTATCCACAGCCATCCACGTTCTCTGCTTTCATTTACTGCTTGTTGTTCAACGAAGGGCGTTTCTTTCGGTCTGAACAGGCGAACTGGTTCTTTCTGCATGGCGTTAAATCGGTGGCCTTATCTTTCACTTGTTCTCTTTCTTCCCATTCTCGGCTGACGACGAGATGACTTGACGCCTCAAATTTCCGGACATGGGATTATGATCGGAAGGCGTTGACGACGGACTTTTTTCTCGCTCGGCGTCCTTGATTTGCTTCGTTTTTTTTACCTCCACGGGAACATACCTCATTCCATTTGTTCATGCGTAATTCCCCCATCCGTGTTGATGCCTTTTCCATGGAACTGTCTTTGCCCTAATGATCTTTCCCCGTCCCACACATTGCTTGCAAATTGTCTCAAGATCGTTACATACTCTGTTTTCCTTGTGGCGTCTCTCATGCATCTATTACTACGTGATTATTGCATATTGAGATAGCCTTAGGGATGACTCGTCTTTCCCAGATAGCAAATGGATCCAAATTTGCATCCCTGATTCCTCGGTCCTCTTCCTTGACCTATTTTGTAGCCATTTGGGCGGAGTGTTGATGAGAGTCACTTGGATGAGACTCTGTTTTGATGTATTTTGGTCTTTTTGACTTATGTCCAGCCCTGGCAATGCCAACTGTCAGCTATGAGCTTTCCTTAGTCTACTTGGGTCTTTTGAACGAATCACTCCTTCCATTCGTCACACATTGCATTTCAATCCCCATGAACCGTACACAATCTTCTATGAAAACCCCTACAGTACGCGGTGGTTTACCAGACAAACATTTTGAACCGATTCGGTCTGTATAGCCTGGTATATCATAAATCATCCAATCTTCATCTAACTCTAGTATGTACGTCATCTAACGATATAACCCACAACCTTTGGACTCGGCCTCCGTCTATCCATATCACTGATCAAGCCCATTAAACTCAATCAACTTCTTCACAGCTTCAATCACCCTGTCGCCAATACTGTTACTCCCATCAATCCCCAAGGAAGAACTATCAAACCGCTCCGCAAGAGCCTCATCTAACATAGTGCGAAGCCGCGAAACGAGCACGCCGATACGTGCCCACCCGCGTAGTCGGAGCCAGCCGTCTACCACTAGACCGCGGCCAACGGTGTCTAGTTCGATGGAGCCGCAGAAGAGGAGGAGGGAATACGCGTTGAAGGCTGCGACAAAACGTAATGTTAGAAACCAATCTTCAGATAAGGGTCTCGGGGTCGAGTCTCGAGGAGAGGAAACAGAGAAAGGAGATTCTTGACTTACGGGTAAGATCCCGGATAAACACCTTGCTAGTAGCCATCTTAGTAAAGTAACTAAGATAAGCCGCCGCATTGGGATATCCCTGCGCAGAGAAGAGAATAGAACTAGGATGGATGAAGACGCGCCCGTTCTCCTGGTTGAAGTACTTGATAGTACGCGCGTCGGGGTCAACTTCCACAGTACCAGTGACCGAACTAGCGAACTTCTTATCCGGGAACGAGATCTGCGCAACCTGTGGCTGGAACGCACCAGCGATGAGTGCGCGGATCAAGTTCCGGTTCGCGGCGTTGCGGTTCCACGCAGTCGATGCATCGGAATAGTTGACGGGCAGGATCCCCGCGTCTTTGAGCGATGAGACGAACTGTGCGCGGTTGGAGGAGATATCGCGAAGTGTCTGGTGAGAGAGGAAATTCGCCGCACACCATGACTGCGTTCCCCAGTAACCGCCTTGCGCCCGGGTCCGCTCTGACCAGGCCTGGTAGGCGGAGAGGTCGGTGAGGAGGTCGCCGTCGCCGAGACGGGAGAAGGAGGCCTTGGCGGCGTCTGCTTCGTCTCGTTTCTCGCGGGGTGAGACGAAGGGGCTTTTAACTGTTAGCATGGCGGCGATTGTGAGACACGGTTCCATGCAGCCGAAGATGGAGCCGTAGATCATGAGTTTTGCGCAGCGGAGGTCGGCTGGGATCATGGAGAGGTAGCGGCCCAGGGCTGTGAGTCTGTCATGGTCTAGGGCTCCGACGCGGTGGAGGAAGTTTAAGGCGCCTTCGACGGCTATGCTTTCTGGTGGGGTGATTGTGTTTGCTAGGAAGGTTGCGACATCTTCGATTCCTTTCATTGATTTGACGGAGAGGCAGAGTTGTTCTAAAGGCACGCGGCGGATTTCTGGGTCTGGGCGTTGCGCCATGTTTGATTCGGCTTTGCGGGTGTAGAGCTTGTAGCATGTGCCGGCGCGGACACGGCCTGCTCGACCGCGGCGCTGTTTGCAGGCCGCTTGGGAGGCCCATACTTCTTGGAGGCGGACCATGTTGTCTTTCGGGTCGTAACTTGTTTCTTTGACTCGGCCTGTGTCGATGACGGCGACTACGTCCTCGATTGTGATGGAAGTTTCGGCGACGTTTGTGGCTGCGATGATCTTTCGCTTGCCCTTTGGTGGGCTTTGGAAGACTCGGCGCTGCTCCGCTGGGAGTAGGGATGCATGTAATGGTAGAGGGTGTGTGTTGGGGATTCTCTTGACTGCCGTGAGACACCTGTCGATTTCGAGGGTACCGGGAAGGAAGATCAAGATGCCGCCTGGTTGGTCTCCTAGCTGGGCATCGATGTATTGGACTGTGGATGCGATCAGGTCATAGTTGATTCCCATGCCCACACTCCGTAGAGCTTTGCCGAGGGTCTCCTCGCCTCGAGGGGTCTCTTCATCGTCCCACTCGTCGGCAAGTTCTGGCGCAAAGCCTGTGTCCCTGATGACATCGTCCAAGTAATAATCTTCAACAGGGAATGTTCGACCAGGGATGTTGACCAAGCCAACAGACCTCTGACTGCCAAAGTAATTCATGAAGATGCCAGCATCAAGAGTGGCACTCATGAGAATAACCTTCAAGTCTTTGCGATAACGCAGAACATCTCTCAGCAGCGCCAGGAGGAAGTCAGTATCCAGACTGCGCTCGTGAACTTCGTCAACGACTACATGCGATACGTCCGCGAGGGAGCTCGAGACATTGCCGTCCGCATCACCGCCTGATTGAATCCGACGCAGCAAAACACCCGTAGTCACAAATGTGATCTTTGTTAAGCCTGGCTTAGCCTTTGACTCGCCTCGAATCACATATCCCACTTCGTCACCAACTGTCGCGCATCGCTCATCGCTGACTCTGTCGGCAAGACCGAGGGCTGAAATTCGACGTGGTTGCGTACAGATGATGTTGGCAGCGCCTCCAAGTCCTCGCTTGATCATGTCGTCCAGAACGAACTGTACGGATTGTGTACTCTTACCACTACCAGTTTCACCGGAGATGATAGTAACCTGGTGTGAGTTGACAGCTTCAATGATAGCTTCTTGAGTGTTCCAAGCAGGGAGTGCTTGTCGTTTCCGACACATGTCTATCTGCGGAGCAGTCGTCTGTTTGGCTTCCCAGGCGTCTCTGATCGCCAAACTCCGTGGTGAGTCGACCTTCCAATCGATGCCCCTCTTCTGTTTGCGCGAAGAGCGCGCGGGGATCTCGGTGGTTTCAGCAGTTGACAAGGCTGTCACAGCAGAGATCTCGCGCAATTTGCCTGGATTCTCCATGATATCCGCTAGATTGACTTCTAGCCAATCCAGGATGTTGAATATCATAGGTTCACCTGAGAAGTTCTCCTCGGCATATTGTACTGCACGACGGATAGCACTCAAGCGTATATAAGCCGGGACACCCTTGGAGTATATTGAAATAATAGGAGCCGTTGTTGGGTAATGAGCAGAGGGCTTTTGGAAGCGGAAGGTTGTATTCTCTGGAACCTCAGAGGCCTCGCTATTGATCTCGCAAACCTTTGCAGAGATGCGATGGTAGCGTTCACCAAAAATGGCCTCCAGGGTAGATTGCTCTTCTGTCCAAACTTCATCCTCCTCGTCGACCACAGGCGGAGATATGAAATGTGATCCATAAACCAGAGTACCTTGTAAATACTCGGCAGCCGCCAACTCATCACCCTTTTTGCTATCCAAAACTTGAGAGCACATATCAGCTGGATAACCCACTGAAGCCAACCGCTTGATCTTGCCTTCACGAGCAAGATCGGCCGAACCAATGCTAACTCCAGCTGAATATCCCTCTGGCAAACTCCACGGCGGGAGATCGTCATCAGGAACATAGATCAGAAGCCACTCCAGAACCTCTTCGCGGTCTTTGCATTCCGCAGTAGCTTCTTCAACGTGGCTGCGCCGGAACCCTAACCCAAAGAACTCTTCAACAATAGTCTTCTTTTGGTTCTGTGGAATCTTCACTCCGTAAGGATTCCAGATTGTATGTTGTCGCAGAAGCCCTTCAATATCTCGTCGAATCCGTGTTCCCATGTCAACCTTGGGCGCCTGGGACCAGATGCGTCGTCCTTTGGCATCACCATTCCCGAGCCCTAATTCCACGCCAGAGGATTTCTCCTTTGCCTGGGCCTTCTCGCGATCTGCTCTCTTCTTCGCCAAATCGGCGGCAGCACTTTCGCGCTCTTGTTTGGCCAGGAACGGATCTGCCTCGTACATCCAGCCCTTGCCTTCCCGAGTATCTGCCGCTTTGATGGCACCAAAGTCTTCCTTCCAAAGTTTCTTGTATGTCGGGGGCATCATCATATGAATATTGCGCATATTACATACTCTGAACAGAGCAAATGCTGCAGCGAAATGGCGCGCCTCAAGGGCAGTAGGTTGTCCGGCGAGATGCTTATGGGAGGGAGGGAGCTTCATCGGCGGAATAACGATTAATTCCTTAGTCTTAGGATCTGTCTTCTTCATAGTAACGGTGGAAACAAAGCCATCTGATGTTTTAATCTGCAATTGTCGCAATTCATCAGCATCTGACTGAGTACCTGTGTTTGCGGACACACCCCGGAGGTATAGATACCATGCTGTACTCGGGTTTCTCCCATTTTTGTTTCTGACAATGCTCCGCCAGCATATTGACTGGTAGCTTGCCCGTCCATGACGCGCCGCCGATAACCTCCTTCACAGAAGGTTTCTTGGGCTCCTCTGGCGGCGCTGGCTTCTTCGCGTCGCCTGCTTTCTCAGCGGCGGCTTTGGCCTGTTTCGTGCCAGGCTTGGGACCTCCATGGCCGTCGCCTTTCTTCTTGGGGGCCATCTGTGTAGATCCGTGAGTATTCGCAAAAATTGGAGATCAACTTTCTTAAGCCCGGGCACACGTCCCGCACTAAACCGCTTTGGGATTTGCGGGGAGCACTTTGGGACGCCGATTCATGAGTCTCTTCAACCTCCGTCGGAGTTGCGAATGTGATTCTTGACTTTGCCGGCAATGCTGCCGATATATACGTAACTCGCTGTCTCAAGCCATCATGTCCATGGAGCCACGCCCTAGTCCCAGCAAGGATGAGCCGAACCAACCTGGCACATCGGAGAAGAGAAATGCTTGTAATGCGGCACTCATTTTTATTGCTGAAGCTAAGCTGACTTGTATCTTGATCCAATAGTCACCGAACTCCTCGCCCCCAAAAGCAAACAGCCCAAGCATGCGCCCAGATCACCATCTGATCGCAACGCTTCCAGAGGGCAAGCTACCTTCGGTGCTCGCGACGGATTAGGCGCCTACATCGCAAAGCCAGAAACATACCCTCCCAATGTGGTAGTATACCACAATGCAGACTTTGTAGCGATCCACGACATGTTCCCAAAGTCATCACTGCACCTACTCCTTCTCCCGCGTGAGCAGACCAAGACATATCTTCACCCGTTTGACGCTTTCGAGGATGCCGAATTCTTAGAAAAAGTAAAGGCAGAAACACGCAAGCTTCGCAAACTAGCAGCGGGGGAGCTACGACGCAAATATGGGAAGGATTCCGCGCAGGAGCAGGCAAGACAAACGGCGTTGAGTACTGATCCGCCGCCGGATGAGCTGCCGCAGGGTCGAGATTGGGAACAGGAGGTTGTAGTCGGGGTACATGCTGTGCCGTCGATGAATCACTTGCATATTCATGTGCTATCTGTTGATCGGTATAGTGATCGTCTGAAGCACCGGAAGCACTACAATAGTTTCTCGACGCCGTTCTTCGTTCCGATTGATGACTTTCCCTTGGCGGAGGATGATGTACGGAGGCATCCCACCAAGGAGGGATATCTCAAGCGAGACTTCACTTGCTGGCGTTGTGGAAGGGGGTTCGGGAACCGCTTTGTGGAATTGAAGCAACATCTGGAACAGGAGTTTACGGAATGGAAGAAGTTATGAGATAGCAATGAATGAATGCGAAGATAGACCAGCACTGCCACATAAGGCACAGCGTGGTATGATAATGGATTCGACTTCTACAGGCCTTCCAGTCTGCGTTCCGAAGAAGCTAGACAGCGCCAAAATCTTCTATCTGGTAAATATACATGCCTACAGTGACAATTCGGCCAGTAAGGAACGATGCATTTCCAGCACGTCAGATACAGCCTTCACTGGACAAGAACTTGGGGTCGATGTGTGCATTTGATGCCAATCTCCCACACTTCAGTGCATTTACGCACGGGCCTTGGAGCGGCCCTTCGACTTGCGGGCCTCGGGGCGGGTGATGTGGTGGGAGGGAATCCAGTCGGCGTTGTAGGTGGTGGCGGAGGAAACGGCAGCGCCGCTGGAGGTCTCCTCAGTAGCCTGGACCTCACTGCGCTTGGCGCCCTGGGGGCGCTTCTCGGTGGGCTTTCCAGCCTTGCGCTTCTGGGGGAAGTAGGGGGCGATCCAGACGGAGTAGAAGAAGTAGCCGGTTCCAGAGACACAGGCCAAGAGGAAGAAGTAGAGGAAGAGACTGGAAGCAATTGTTAGCCCAATTGACCTCAGAGTCCAAGGAGGGGTATTACATCTGAGGGTCGAAAATGCTGGTGTCGGCCTCAACAACGCTGACTGTGCCATTGTGGGCAGTGATAGGAAGGAAGTTGCCCTCGCTGTCAGAGACGATGGCAGAGAGAGTCATCAGGAGATCCTGGGGGTGCATCTCGGTGGCAAAGCTGTAGCTGATGGTCTCCTTCTGACCGGCCGGGATCTCGACACCGTAGCGAACGGCGGTCAAGTTGCGGACGACCTGGGTCTGATCATCAGGGTTCCGCAGGCTTCCACCGATGAAGTTCACAGTGATTGGGTTCGGCTCATCGTTGGCGATGGCGATCAGCGCCTGGGTCGGGTGACCGTTGACAAGCTTGATGCCGAAGATCTCGGAAGCAGGGAAGGAAGCCTGGGCAGTGACAGCCAGGCTGATAGCCTCTGGTTCCGCGGCCTTCTCAGCATCCTATAATATCAAATCAGTCAATTGAGTCTGCGAGAGTGGACATGGACGCGAAGGACGCGAAAGACGTGAAGGACATGACAAACATACAGCAGCAAAGCCGGTGCCGACGAAGGCCTGGAGCGAGAAGAGAGCCAGCGAGAGGAAACCGAAGCGAGTCATTGTGCAGAGAACCAAAAGCGAAACGAGGGAGGTAAGAGGAAGAGGAGAAGGAGAGTTGGCTCCACGTATGGCAAAACCGGGGGCTGACTCAGCAAGATTGCATCCGCGGTTTTTAGATCGATTTTTTTTGAAGTAAAAGAAGACGCGTGCTATAATTTCCATATATTAATAAAGGCGCACTGGGATCAGTGACTCTTCATCTACGCGCTGTGTAGATCGCCCTGCAAAGCGCCTAACCGGACTTCGCTTTCAGTCTTGAAACCGGCTTCTCTCCTTACCTTCTTTCTCTTATCTTCCAAGTTGTCGCATTCTCTGCTTTCACCTCAAATCTTTCGCACTTTTATCACTTGAGAAATGGCAGCCCAGGCTTATTTAGAGCGCTATCGCCAGATTAGTGCTCTGGACCAGCAGAAGAATGATTTCATCGAGGTAGCGACGACCTCTCCCTTGGTCCGGACACTGCTAACACGTCTTGCTCCCAGGAACTTCTCCAACGAGTGACTACCTTAGAAAACTCCTTCCAGCAGGAGAAACTTGACCATGAACGCGAGACCCGATTCAATCGCGATATTCAGTTGCATGAGATGGAGTTGATGGACCAAATATCGCGAATCAAGACTATTATGGTGAGCGCAGCGGTGGAATGGCATTTGAACGTGCGCTGACACATTCCTTGCTTAGGATCGGGAACCATTTGTCGTTTTGCTCTTAGATGGCGAAGGCGTAATATTCAAGGACGAATTTCTGCAGCTGGGAGAACAAGGTGGACGAAATGCTGCCAAGCAGCTCTGGACCTCTCTCCAGGGATATGTGACGGCGAACCTCTCAACGATTACCGAGCCGAAGATAATGACCAAGATCTATCTTGATGTGAAGGGATTCACCGAGGCTTGCAGTCGGGGTGGGATCACCCTAGAGGCGTCTGCAATCGGGGAATTTATTCGGGGATTCAATGAAAGCACTTCGTTCTTTGAGATCGTCGATGTTGGAACAGGCAAGAACAAAGCACACGATAAGATCAAAGGTACGTGGTACAGCCTGTGACTGCGGAACAAAGTGCTAATTCGCTCTTGTCTCTCAGAGGCATTCAAGCTCTACTTATACAACTGCCATTGCCACCAACTCTTCCTAGGTTGCGCCTCCACTGAAGAATATGCTCGGTTCCTGGAAGATGTGTTAGTCGATGGAGATTTCACTGGCCGGGTTTCACTACTTGAAGGCCTTCCTTTCGACAAGGAGTTTGATACCCTGAAGAGCACATATCGCACTACGAAGTTCCCAGATGTCTTCCGCTCTTCTAAGATTGCACCTACCTGGACAGCCCCCTGGAAGAATTCGCTTCCCTCGAGGGGGTTGCTCACGCCATCGCCAACCCAACAATTCCAGACTCCTGCTCCTCTGTCAAGAACATCCACGAGCACCAGTATGTCGGGTCTAGGCGTTCCATTGTCTACTGCTGTGGCAAATAAGCTCTCGCCCTCCGAGAATCCTGACTTCCAAGTTGTTCGACCGAAGGTACCTAGCTCAACCTCTCCCAAGGCCGTGGAACGAAATAAGTACGGCCAGCGTGTCGATCGACTCGATTTCAAGAGCATCCCCCGGGATGATCTTAACCGCCTGAAGAAGCTCAAATTGTGCAACTATCACTTTTTGCTCGGGGAATGTCCTAATGAAGAGAACTGCTATCACGACCATGATCGCAAATTGAGCCGCCAAGAACTGCACATCCTGTCAGCCATTGCTCGCATGACCCCATGTCGATTCGGGCTGGATTGTGATGATGTCGAGTGTATCTATGGCCACCGTTGTCCTCAGAGCGAGCCAGGTAAAAAGACTTGCTTCCGCGGCGAGACTTGCCGTTTCGACCCTGTGGCGCACGGAATCGACACAAACATTGTGAAAGTGACTAAGATCTAAGCTGGTTCGCCCATCTAGGGTGAACTGGATCTTATCCACTCGAAAAGTCCCTTAAATATTTTCTACTGACTTCGGCGCGACCGGGTTTGGGTTTAATGGGGGAAAGGTTCATCGGAAGCACCCATTAACAGGAGTTGTGGACGGTGCATGGGGACAGGCTTGCTTTACATGGAGAATTCAACATCATCTTTTTTCCATACTGGTAATAAAGATGATTGGGAGGACCCCAACACTTATTATCTCACTTAAATTGTATTACTAGTGATCATAACAACGGAATTTTCTGAGGGTATCTGTGTTGATAATAATACAAGTAGATCGTAAACTTCATGAGTGGATAGTTGTGCCAAATATGCCGAAACGTCTCTCCCATCCAAAGCAATCGGGCTGGCTGCAGTCCTCGCCATCGACATCCATTGCATTGGGGTCTTTGTTATGGGTACACTTCACTCCGTATTCCTTGATGCAGCATTTGAATGGCAGCGAGCTGAGTGGTTCTGGGTTTTGGTTGCCAGAAGCTATGGCTTTCTTTCGCTCTTCGAGATTGCCCCAGAGATAGAAGAGCTTCTCTTTCATAAGATCCAGTTTTCGAGGTCTTTTGCGAAGGCTGTGGAGGGGTCAACATGATTCCGCAAGTGGTATGGCAAAAGGATGGATATCTTACTCTATTGCTTCCATATCCAGGAGACAATCACCGTCATGACGAGACACGAAAAGCTTCATTCGTGCCCGGGGTTGCTGCTTAGAAGGCTGTGGCTCCACTCCTTCCACAAGGAGGCAGAACCGCCATTCCCAGCCAGAGTATGTCTCTGTGTCTTCTGACAAGGCTGCTTGTGTAGTCTGCACGGCGAAGTCTTCTAAATTTGGAGGAAAGAAATCGACCACACGGAGTTCGGAGATATAGTTGACATTTTGGAATGGTAGTTGGTAGACAACGCCTCCTGGAGCATGGTTGATGTGAGATTCTGCCCGCAAAATCTTTTCAAGAGGAGAAACAGTGGCTAGGTAGGCGTTTGGTTTGACTGTAATACATCTATTAGCTAGTGTAATTCTCTCGCATAAAGTAGACTCACTGTGTGGATTTAGCTTGGTTCGCGTGGCTGCTGGCAAAATGAGCTGCCCTGCTTCTTTTTTTGCCTCCTTTTTCTGCTCTTGGGCCTTCTTATTCCGCTTTTTGGCATTCTTGGTATCGGCCTTGGGTTCACCATGGATCTTCCAGTACTCTGCCCGACGTTTCATCAACGCCTGTGCGCGTTCGTCATGGCCACCCTTCAGTGCCTTGATATGAAGCTTTTCTGGGTATTTCCTGTCTTGGTGAACAGCAGCCTCTAAGCCACGACCTTCCTTGATCCGTACATAGGTCAAGAGAACAAGATCACCTGGCTTGATATGTTCTCGAGCATAGGTGGCATGGGGTTCCCACAAAGTCACTTGGATCGTTAATTGACCCCAGGGACCGGGCCAGTCCTTTCTCCTCCGTGCCAAGTAGTTGAATTGATCGCCTTCGGGGCCTGACTCGTCTTCTTCTTCCCCAGGCTTCTTGTAGTCCTCAAGTTGCGAATTCTCCGTGTAATCAGTCATGAGCATCAGGCATTTCTCGCTGTCATACGTGTCCAGCTTTACAGCTTGACCAAGTAGTTGAGCAAATTTGCCCGGCTTGACATCTTTAATAAGGGAGAAGGGTAATCCCGATTTCGGGGTCGAGGCAGAAGCTTGAACAACGTGGGAAGGCCTTTGAGAGACGGGCACACTGCGCGATGTGGATGGTTGCACAATATGCCCCTCGGCAGACACACGATCCAAGAGTGCCTGCGCCTGGTCCTTTTCCCATAAATTCGGCTCAAAAGGAACAGGACCACTGGTGATGGACAGACTGGATCCTGGCCCTGGCTCTGGTCGAAAAACTATCCAGAAAACGCTCTCCTGCTGGGAGACAACTCCTGTGGGCTTGTTTTGGTAGATGCTCACCTGAACCCGGCATTAGCTTTATAGTCTTGATGTTATTCAGTCTGACTCACCCGGATGCTTCGTAGCAGAACTAGGTCGTTGACCTGAACATTGGGAAGGTGACTTTCATCGTCGTTGAAATATTTGACTTTCAGACCCCCTTGCCAGTGAGGTGCATCAAACTCGGAGTCTTTAATGGTGAATGTGACACACGCAGAGGAGCCTTTGGTCCGAAGGGGTGGGAGAGTATCAACCACCACGCCTAGCACACTGAAAGTTCCCCTGGAAGAACAAGCAGTGGAGATAGATACCAAATCTCCTAGAGCCATAGCTGTGGTTGGAATTTGGCAGGTTCACGGGGCGTCCTGCAAGCTCCCGATGCTTAGATATCGCGAGGTAACAACTCAGAAAACACTGGAAACTTGACAATGTACATCCATAGTCAAGCGTAGGTAAAGCAAAAAAAAGATCCCCAATTACAAACAACTTGAAGTCGTGCACGTTACCGCGTAGAGTAAATAGAATGGGTGATCACATGATCCCCCCTCCTTCCACACAAGATGTTCCTCTTTCTTCCTCTCTTCTTCTCCCCCACATCTCTCTCTTCCTCTTTCCATCCACAGCGCGCCCATCCTACATCACTTAACTTCTTTCTGATTCACGTGGCGCGCTTCATTCAGCTCTTCTCACATTCACAATGGCGGAACGCTATATCCCCGAACACCGCCGCACGCAGTTCAAGGCCAGAGGCCAGTTCAAGCCCGATGAGCTCCGCCGTCGCCGTGAGGAGCAGCAGGTCGAGATCCGAAAGCAGAAGCGTGAGGACAACTTGGCCAAGAGACGTGGTATTCAGACACGGGATGGTGGTATCAGCGTAGGTGGCGTGAACGCCGCCACTGAGAGCGACGATGAAGCTAGTGCTATCGAGAGTGAGGTATGTTTTGAAAATTTCCCTTCAGCACTTGAATTTTCATTCCTTCTATCTATTGAGATCGGGCTTCTCAGCGACCGTGGTGTCGTTGCCACCCACTGGGTCCTTTTCGATTCCTTTGTTTTCATGATGCGATCATCAACAAGGAATTTTTTCACCGCCCTGTTGCCATGGCCCACGAAGCCCCTCCAAACTTGGGTCTTCCAGCCCACGCCCCACTGTAAAAATATCATTGTTTGGATTACAAAGCTAACGTAATGAATCATCTAGCTTAACGTCGAGCTTCCTTTGATGGTGAAGGGTGTCTTCTCCGACCAGGTTGAGGAACAGATCCAGGCCACCACTAAGTTCCGCAAATTGCTTTCCAAGGAGCGCAACCCTCCCATCGAGCGGGTCATTGAGACCGGTGTCGTTGCCCGTTTCGTGGAGTTCCTTCGCTCGCCTCACACTCTGGTTCAGTTCGAGTCTGCCTGGGCTCTGACCAACATTGCATCTGGTTCCGCTCAGCAAACCCAGGTCGTCATTGAAGCTGGTGCTGTCCCCATCTTCGTCGAGCTGCTCAGCAGCCCTGAGCCCGATGTCCGCGAGCAGGCCGTCTGGGCTCTTGGTAACATTGCCGGTGACAGCCCTCACTGCCGTGACTTCGTTCTCGGTGCCGGTGCTCTCCGCCCCCTCCTGAACCTCATCAATGATGGCCGCAAGCTTAGCATGCTCCGCAATGCCACCTGGACCCTTAGCAACTTCTGCCGTGGCAAGACCCCCCAACCCGACTGGAACACTATTGCCCCTGCTCTCCCGGTCCTCGCCAAGCTCATCTACATGCTTGACGATGAGGTCCTGATTGACGCCTGCTGGGCTATCTCCTACCTGTCTGATGGCGCCAACGACAAGATTCAGGCCGTTATTGAGGCCGGTATCCCCCGCCGCCTGGTGGAGCTCCTCATGCACGCTTCCACCTCCGTTCAGACTCCCGCTCTCCGTTCCGTGGGTAACATTGTCACCGGTGACGACGTCCAGACCCAGGTCATTATCAACTGTGGCTCTCTACCCGCCCTGCTCTCTCTCCTGAGCTCCACCAAGGATGGTATCCGTAAGGAGGCCTGCTGGACCATCTCCAACGTTACCGCTGGTAACTCCAGCCAAATCCAGGCTGTCATTGACGCTGGCATCATTGCCCCTCTGATCAACTTGCTCGCCAATGGTGACTTCAAGACCCGCAAGGAGGCTTGCTGGGCTATCTCCAACGCCACCTCTGGTGGTCTCCAGAAGCCCGATCAGATTCGCTACCTTGTCTCCCAAGGCTGCATCAAGCCCCTGTGCGACCTCCTCGCCTGTCCCGATAATAAGATCATCCAGGTCGCTCTTGATGGCCTTGAGAACATCCTGAAGGTCGGCGACATGGACAAGGAGGCTGGCCAGCCCGGTGAGGCTCGTGTCAATCGCTACGCTCTCTTCATCGAGGAGGCTGGTGGCATGGAGAAGATCCACGACTGCCAAAACAATGCCAACGAGGAGATCTACATGAAGGCTTACAACATCATTGAGAAGTACTTCTCCGACGAGGATGAGGCCGGCGGTGACATTGAGGAGCTTGCTCCCCAACAGACCCAGACTGGATTCTCCCTTGGTACTGGCCAGCAGCAGCCCGGTGGATTCAACTTCTCCAACGGCGGCGACACCATGGACATGTAAAGACACCAATGACCACATCAATATGTTGCTTTCTTGCTTTTCTCCTTCAATAAAATCGTCGAAGTTGCACCCAGCACATACTCGCTTGGGTGGGGCAGCATTGGCTATCGAGAGTCCAACTTGCTCGCAAAAAGCCACTTCGTTCGCTTCGCACTTTAGGTGCTTCTCGGTCTGACCGTGTGTCTGGATAGTACCTGGAGCTCTTTTGACTCCTTCCCCTTCTACCTCGCGCTCTTGTTACGATTTTCATCTTCCCCTTCCCCCTTCCCTTTTTCTTTTCTCTTTTTTTTTTTTTTCTTTGTTTTTTTGATTTCACGATAAACAAGATTCACCGTCATGTATCCCCCTCCCCCCTTTAGCATCCTCATACACAGGCGTATTTGTTTGCAGGATCGGTTTTCTCCAGTTATGTTAATGTCCCCCAACCCCCCTGGTGTTCCCTGGCGGGGTTTTGGTCTCCTGCGCGGGAGCTTCCCCTCGCTCGATGACAACAGGGGCGTGTATTGTGGACGATAGCCCTAGTGTGTCGTCGACAGCCTGGCCAAGACATGCCCCTGAAAATGTTTGTCGATTGTGCTTTTCTCATGGTCACCTTGAAGTTTTCCAGGAAAAATGCCAATTTCTTGATCAATCTATTCGATCTAATTCGTAGTCATCGTAGGCGCTGTTATTCTAAGGGCCATCTAACCTTTTCCGGGAAATATTGTAACATACTGCTCGGCTTTCAACGTTGCAATGATTCATGTCAGCCGTGTGGTTCGTGATATATATAGCTTAATGCACGTAGTCCAAGTTCAATGACCCAAACATGGCTTGATATGTAGCAAGTATCATCAAAATTCAAAAAAAATACCGCGAAAACAGAGGGGAATAGATTCAACTCATATCAGAGCAAAGCAAAAAAAAGCAAAAGAAGAATATAACATACAGAAATGAAAAGGTCGATGTCCACGCAAACAAGAACAGAAGCAAAGAAGAAGAAGAAAAAGAGAGAGATACAATCGAGTTAAATCACCTCAAGCCACAACATATGACATGAATAGAAGATCTGAAAAAGAAACAAAAAAAAAAAGAGATTATTTTTCAGAACACACGTTAACCCATCAATTGAGACAAGAATAAAATCCCATCAAATTTAATCACCCATCACCTCATCCTCATCCTCAGGTGCAGAATTTAATCCCTCGTCCTCATCTCCATCCCCACCCTCTCGATCAATATCTTCTTCTACAAGACCACGGGCCCGCAAATCCTCATCCTCATCTTCCTCCACAGTCTCGGGATGTTCCACTTCCTCATCATTAACACGTTCCGCAGACTTACTCTCCTTAGCAGGAGTAGGAGGTGCAGCAGAAGCAGACTTAGCAGCAGATTTAGCAGTCTGCTTACCCTTACTCCTAGACGCCGCAGCTCTAGGCTTCCTCTCTTCAAGATAAGACAAGACTTCACGATAATTCTGACCAAGAACGGTCTTGTTCCGAAGTAGACGTTTCTTCAACGCGCCACGCTTCGCGCCAGATGCATCAATGACACGGGCGATGATGGCCAAGACGAGTTTTCCCGTTATCTCGCAGAGGCGCTGTTCAGCGAAGATGCTAGAGCGAAGCCGTTCGTTGAGAACGGCTTCGTCTTCTTCATCGCTGGCTTCGTCTTCGTCTTCGGGTTCATCTTCCGAGGCTGGTTCATCGTCGTCTGCGGGTTCGTGGTCCAGACCTGATTTCTTGGCCCAGGTTCTTTCGGCGCTGTTGTGTATTTTGGAGAGGAGGGCTTGGGTTTCTGGGCCGATCTCGTGAATTAGACTTTGGGTTTGGAAGAGGGTGTCTTCGTCGTTTGTGCTGCCTGTGCCTAGATTGCGGAGAGTGCTGAAGAGGGTTTGGAGGTCGAGGTAGGTTGTTGTTGCTACTACGCGGAGGTTGTCGAGACCTGCGCGGGAGTTCATGATGTTGACTAGGGTGTCGGCGAAGGTTTCGCGGCTTTTTGTAAGGGCTTCGAAGTAGGCAGTGGTGAAGGCTGCTTTTCCTTCGTTTAGGGCTGTGGACAGTGCCTGCACCTTCCACATGAAATAGAATAGCAGTGTGCGGATACTGCTTGTCACTAGCTCGGTCTCTGTTATGGCAGTGTCTTCGTCATCATCTTCCATGCGGAGGCCGCGCTCGGCGAGGCGGATGAGGGTGTTAAAGGGGGCTTCGGGGTGGTCCTTTTTGGATTTTGAGCGGGAGTTGGGCACGGTTTCCAGGATTGCGGCGCAGTCTGTGATACCGGCGAGGTTGGAAATGCGTGTAACGGTGTTGGTCAGGTCGGTGAGAGTAGGATCAGATATCGAGCCACCTTCTTGAACGTCCTTCTTCCGCGATAGAGCGCCTAGTGCCTCGACCATGTCATCCCACAACTCCTGGACTTTGCTCTCCAGCACCTCCTTCATCTCATCGGAGCTCTTTGCATGCAAGAAGGCAACACTAGCCTCAGCCAGAACATCTTGGTCCGAATGGGTCAAGAATTGTTTGTTGATATCATTGAGCAGGGAGGAATAGGCGGTGGCATCCTTCTGGAGATCCTGGATTGTATCCAGGTCCACAAGGTGCTCCAGGCGCAGGACAGCAGAAGCTGATTCCGGCGCGGACCCAAACTTGTTAAGAAGACGTGGGATGATTTGTGCGAGGTTGTGGGAGATCTCTTCTTGAAGCTCGGGGATCTTGGATGTCAGAG